ATATGGGACGCCCGTCCTGAAAGGGTTAAATCCTAGATCATAATTCTAGTTAATCCCCCTTCTGAAATGTTAGCTTTACTTCTTTTATTCAAAAACATTTCCGTCAAGCATTACCTTTTAAACATTAATTGTTAGATACTTGCTTTATTCCAAAACATTGCCGTCAAACATTACCGCTCAAATATTACCAATAATAATAATAAAAAAAAAAAAACTGTTGTTGCCAATCAGGAAACTACATTAAAAAAAAAATTACACATGTTTTTCCACTTTTATGTTATTCCCTTGTTTTATTTTGAATTTAAGTGCAGTGTATTGAGATTATAATTTTTTTATGTTTTCATTATCTTTTGTACACTATTTTACTTTGCAGGGTGTTGCACGTAAACAAGAATGGTGCCCAAAAAATCACCAATTTTCGCCAAGGGGTGTCCTGAAATATATTTTCTCTATTAATTTAAATAACTTTTGTACGCAGTTCTGAAGAGAGAAATTCCTGACACCAAAGATAAGATTGAAAAAATTTATAGAATATATTCGGTCGGAAAGTTCTGTCCATTTTATGACAACAATTTTCAAGTCAACATGTTTATTTGGTGCATGTTCGGCTCTCTATTTTACTGCTTAATGTATACATACTGACCTAGCAAATTAACTGAAACAAAGTTGATTCATGTTAGTCTTAAGTGTGAAGCAATAGTGTACACATGGCTACTGATAAAAGTTCATTTACGTTACTGTATTTTGTACGAATTTCAACAGGGAAGAAATGCTACAGAAGCAAGTAGAAATTTATTGGAATTGTTTGGTTGAAGGTACAGTTTCTGACAAAACATTCAGAAGATGGTTCAAAAAATTTGAAACAGGTGATTTCGACCTTTCTGATAAGCCACGTTCTGGGCAACCATCTTTGATTGACGACGATGTTGTTATGACCATGTTGAAGCAAGAACCTTTTCTGACAAGAATCAGAGGTCACAGAAAGGCTTAATTCAGCTCAGCAAACCATCCCGGATCATTTTTTGGAGATAGGATTGGTGTGGAAATATTCAAAATGGGTGCCATATAAATTAAGTCAGAAGAATTTGGATTGATTGATTCGTCACATGCACATTTCTGCTTACTCGTAACAAAATCAAGTCCTTCTTAAACTGGATGATAATTCGGATGAAAATGGATTGCCTATGGAAACATCATAAGGAAAAGGTATTGTGAACCTGGAAAACCTAGCCCTTCACCTCTAAACCAGATTTGACTCTGAATAACAGAATATTGTGTATATGGTGGGACATTTGAGGACCAATACATTATGAGCTTTTAAAATTGAATGAAAACCTCAATTCAGAGAAGTATTGTCAGCAACTGGACAATTTAAAGACAGCAGTTCAAGAAAAGAGGCCGGCGATGTTTAAAGAAAGGACATCATACTGCATCATAATAATACCAGGCCACATGCTGCTTTGGGGATTCATCAAAAAATTGCAGAACTAAGGCTGGGAAATTCTGTCGCATTTATCACATTCCCCGGAGTGGTGATCGGAAAAATGGTCACAGGAAAAAATCCCACAGGAAAAATGCCCTCATAGAAAGATGCTTACTTAGAAATATGCTGACACGAAAAAAAGCTCACATAAAAATAAACCCACTGATAAATAAAATACATAGGGATATTCTTACATTAATCAATCAATAATTAATCTATTTTAACATCGTACACCTACTTGAATTTTTCAAAGAAAAATTATTTAAATTACCAAAACATGTATGGTATATACATATATCAAAAACTATTTAACTTATGTGTAGATTCACTTGCTATATAAGATTAACAAATGGGCTGCTTTGAATTAGTAAAAGAGAGGTGAATGGGGAAAAAACTGGAACAGAATATACAGCGAAAAATTATTACAATTTTAAATGTGAAAAAAATAAAAGAATAGTAAATATAAGTTACCCATTTTATAATATAAACATTTAGAAGCAAATAGAAATAATTATTTTATTTAAATTAAGTAAAATACCTTGTTATATATGAGGGTTGGAACTTTAATAGTGGCAACACAGCTGAAAAAACGCTACGCAACAAAACCAAAGAATATCGCGTATACCACACATGAACTACATACCTACCTTACCTCTCAGTAAAAAGACTCGTCCTGCCTACGTCATGCGCATGCGGAGTGACGCGAAGAAGAGATCCTTGTCTAAAGTAAGTGTTTTCAAAACAAGAACAACGATGTTGGATAAAAATTGAATGTGCCAGAGGTCGTACAGCACGACAGTGTCATCAAGGGCTTCAAGAGGCTTGCGGGGAATCTGCATTGCCTTACAGAACCGTAGCAAGATGTGTGAAAGCATTCAATGAAGGATGCCAAAACGTGGCAGACATGCTGCGGCCAGATTGTCCGAGTGTCAGCAATGCAGACGTGCAAGCTGTTGCCGCACAAATGGACAGTGATCGCCGCCAAATGATTCGTCAGCTGGCCGGACAAACAGGATTAGCGCATACGACTGTGCTTCACATTCTGAAGGAACGCCTGTCCATGAGAAAAATTGCTTCACGATGTGTTCCGCATTCATTGACGGAAATGCAGAAATGGCTATGATACGATGCTGCCCGAACCCACCTGGAGCGCTATGAGCGCGAAGGAGATGCTTTTTTTACACCGTATCATTACGCTGGATGAGACTTGGGCCTGATCGTACCAGCCAGAACTGAAACGCCAATCAAACGAATGGCGTCATCACGGGTCACCACGACGTTCGAAATTTCATCAGAACCCCAGCAATGTGAAAGTTATGGTGATTCTCGTGTACGACTGTGATGGTGTCATCCTAATGCATACCGTTCCCCCACAGCAGACCGTCACTGTGCAGTATTATTGCTCATTTTTGGAGCACAATCTCCGACAAGCTTTGAGAAAAAAACGGCGACACTTTCTGCAGAACGCTCCTCTCATTTTGCATGACAATGCTCGGCCGCATGCAGTGCAAGCTGTGACTGATTTGTTCAAGCGATGGGGCTAGGAAGTGCTTTACCATCCACCATACTCCCCAGATCTAAGCCCTTGTGACTATGACTTAATTCCTAAGATGTAGGAACCACTTCGTGGCACTCGCTTCCAAACTGTTCCTGAGATTCTTGCGGCAGTAGACCGGTCCATTCAAACTATCAACAAAACAGGCGTTGCTACAGGTATTCTGCGACTTCCACATCGTTGGAAACGGGTTGTACACAATGCTGGCGACTATATTGAAGGACTGTAAAACATGGTGACATGAATCACTTTTGTATTCCTTGTAAATAAATAGTTGCCACTATTAAAGTTCCAACCCTCGTATTAATATTTCATATAAACTTACTGAATATTAGCTAATATATGTAAATATCTAATTTTATCATCGATTTCATCATAGTTTCTTACATGATTCGTGATTACCAAATGTAAGTTTTCATATTTTCTTTCTTTTTTTTCTTTTTTCTTTTTTTTTTTTTTACTTCAGTACGCCCTGTATTTACAATAGCTAATAATAAACTTTGACAGGCTAAATCCTTTTTTAGTCTGTCAAACAAAAACCACATACTGAGATGGCTACAATTAAATAATGAATTTAAAACCTTATGAAAGCTTTCATAACAATTTGTGGTTTTAGGAGATTTTTCGAAAGCTGCTTCATAATGATTCCACACTTTAGATTAGAAACTGTGGTTTTCTAGAACTTTTTGGCACTAAACTTAAATAACTACATTCAAACATCAATTTTTATAGATACACATCAAAAGTATGCAAAAATAGAGTAAGAAAAAATAAATATATAAATAAAAGATTGGCAGTTACAGGAAAAAAAAATGCCATACATGTAGCATTCGTATAAAATATATCAGTACATGCAAAATTTTACTATACTTTCATTCTTTTATATACCGCCCCTGAAAAGGTTAATGTGAGCGTATGGCCAATAATTTTTTCAAATGATCAAATAATTTTTCTTTAAAAAATTCAAGTAGGTGTACAATGTTCAAATCGAGTAATTATTGATTGATTGATGTAAGGATATTCTACGTATTTTATTTATCAGTGGGCTTATTTCCATGTGAGCATATATCTATGTGAGCTTTTTCCCATGTGAGCATATTTCTAGTGAGCATTTTTCCATGTGAGTTTTTTTTTTCTGTATAGGCTTTTTTTCTGTGAGCATTTATACCTGTGAGCATTATTCCTGTGGGCTTTTTTCCTAGAACACTCGGACTTACCATCGTCCGACTATTACTTGGTTTTTGTTCTTATGAAATTTTCTGAAGGGCTAAAAATTCAAAAAATGAAGAAGACATCAAACAAGCATTGGCTCAATTTTTCATGACATTTTTCAAAAATGGGATATACAAACTGCCATCACACTGGCAAGAAGTCATTAATAATAATTGTAATTAAATTATAAAGTTTATTGATGTTAAGAAAAATTTGTATTTTGTTTTATTCCAAAAACAGACAGAACTTTCTGGTAGACCAAATGCTTTCCTTGGGAAAAAAAAAAAAGATTTATATCTTTGAATAATATGCTGCGAATTGATGAGAATTCTTTAAGTATTCATTAATAACCCTAATGATGGTTGAAACAGAATAAAAGTCTAATAAAATATAATCACATTTAGAAATCTTTGCTCAATTATAATGTATTTTGATAGCCTCATGTATTGCAAGGTAGAACTTGGATAAGTAAATAACACTTTGCAACCATTCTCTTGCCTTCTTAGATTTTAAAATTAAAACAAACTTAGATTTCCCATTTGGTCATTTTGATAGCCCACAATTTTAACTTGCTTCATAATTTTAAGCACAGCTTTACTGTGCTAGACAAAACATAGAATGGTAAACATACACAGTTAACATACATTACGGTACTCAATATTTAGTTATCATAAGATTTCTTTGAATTTAATTATTATTCTACCTATCCATACAATACTGATTGTGAAATAATTCTGAAAATATGAAACATAAATTTTTTCCCTTTTTTTATTATTATTTTAACAAAATAATGTTAAACATTTGTTTTTATAGGAATACAAATAAATAATCTACCATGAAAAAGCAGAAACATATAACAAAACATATCAATTAGCATTCTGTTGACAGACTGACACCAAAGTAATATTCAAAAATGACTGAATAGATTTATCTTTGTTGTGCAATGTATGATTATCATCACCATGAGAAAGACTAATATCCATTGCTTCAGCTAATGGAAATATTTCATCAGTGATATTCATATCAGTTGCATAATTCTCTCTTTGCAGCATACTTAGACTTTTATGCTCTGTCATGTGTTCTATGTAGGAATTCTGTTTTAATGTCCGGAATGAACAGATATTGCAAGAAAACACCAATCCTTCAGTCTCATCAGGATGTTTTTTCAAATGAGCTTTATAACAACTGGCCTAAAACAAAAATTATACTATTATAAAGGAGTCAAAATATACAAAACTAACAGATACTAAAATTTAATAAATGATGATCATCAGCTTCTGACAGATGCAAACTGCCAAATGTTTATGGAAAATACATATTTATGTCAAAGGTAAAAAAATCATATTAAATGAAACAAATGAGGTAATCTTGTGAAATAAAAATATGAAAGTGAAAAAACAGTAAAACAAAATGAATAAATTCACTGATAATGGAAATTGCCTGTCATCCATTGTTTCATTGCAGGGGGGGGCACATGACATGCCATCAAAATGAATAAATTCACTGATAATGGAAATTGCCTGGTATCCATTGTTTCATTAGGGGCATAGAACTGCCAGTCACATTCCTGTATGTACAAATGAACCTTATATAGCTTAGCAAAAAAGGAAAATAATCAATTAAAAATGCCAACTCACAGTTAAAAGCTATCTACCCATCCTCTATGTAACTTCAAAATAGTAAAATGAGGGGGAAAAAAAAAAAAAATGAGGATGAAGACTGTAGACAAAAAATTACACAGAAGAACTTCTTTAATCCCTGAACAGCTGTAACCTACACATTTTTTTTAATATAGAGAAACAAACAAAATTTCAACATCATGGAAACCTTTATTATATAAGCACTGTTAAAAGAAAACCTCTAGTTACACAACTGCCATGGTTTCTGATAGTTTCGGAATGCCTGCTGGAATTTTTTTTTAATGATATACAAATGCTGTCATTGCATTTTTCCCAAACTTCCTTTATAGACTGGAAACAATGTCCTTTCAAAGTGGTTTTAAGTTTGGGAAAGAGAAAAAAGTCTGCTAGAGAATAGGGTGAGTAAGGCATACTGAAAGTTCGATGTTTTGTCAGATTACTGGTAATAAGGAGCAATATGTGAGCTGGAACATTCTCATGATAAAATATCCAGCACTGATTCCATCCACAATTCAGGTCGCTTCCTTATGCACAGCAACTCTCAATCATGTTAGAATTCTTCCTTGTTTTCTCTCTGAGCATGTGATACAAATTACACTGAACACGTTGCTGAAATTGCATCAAATCCTTGGAACTTCACCAACTGAACTTTTGCCCTTCTTAATACTGTTACGAATTTGGTATTTAAAAAGCTAATGTTAGTTCAATTACAAATTAAATGATTTTATTTCTCACGCAGTGCAGCGCGTGACGAATATTAAAAGAAAGCTAAGCCGTAAAATTGAAATTACAAGAGCGCGTGCATTAAATAAATAAATATCTCTTTTTGATTTCGAGAAAGTACTGGAAAATTCTAGCGCGTGATTTTAAAATCTTATAAAAGGAGGAAAACATCTCAGTTTGTAGTAGTTGCTTAGTTTGTTGTTGTTTAGAAAACTGCTCTTGTTGATTGTAGCGAATTCGCGGATTAGCGTTCTTTAGCTGTTTTTAATTGCGTTCTATTGGACATTTGAGTAGTTAAAAGATAACTACTGTGAGATATTGTAATACTGCATGATAATTTGAGAAAAAAAAATTTAAGCATTTTTGTTGTGAAAATAATAAATTTTTTTTTGTTCATTTTTCACATCGGACTTGTGCATTCATTTCATAACGAACCCGTACGCACGCAAACAATTTTTGGTGTCAGAAGTGGGATTTGAATGCCAATAACAAGAGCGATGGAAGAGCAATTAAGGCAGTTAATTAATATCAGCCTTTGCCTCATTTAAAGAAGAAATTAAAGAGGAAATGAAATTGGGCCAGGAATCCGTTAAGGAAGAAATGAAATTGGGCCAGGAATCCGTTAAGGAAGAAATGAAATTGGGCCAGGAATCCGTTAAGGAGGAAATGAAAGCCGTTCAAGCTGGTCAAGAAGAAATGAAAAGAGAAATTACTTGCATAATAGAAAATAAATTTGAAGCTATGGAAGGCAGAATTGACGCAGTTGAAAATAAAGTTGGACATATTTAAGAAAAAGTTTCTTCCGTAAAAGATCATATTGAAGAAAGAGTTTCTTTTTCTTCGGTGAAAGAAGAAATAGAAGAAAGAGTTTCTTCTGTAAAAGAACATATAGAAGGGAGAGTTTCTTTTCTTCTGCTGGGAGGAACGAATTGAAGGAAGAGTTTGTGCCGTCCAACACCAAATCGAACAACAAATTGATGAGAGAGTTTCTGCAGTTGCCAAAGAAATGGATACTTTAAAGAAATTCGTAACGTCGGCAGGGAGCAGGAGTGATGATTTTAAATTCTTACCAATGCCTGCTCGTCCACCTCCTCTGAAGCTATCCACGTATGATGGGAAGACCTCCTGGCAGGTGTATAAGACACAATTTTTCTATCGTGGCGGATGCGAATGGATGGGATTCCCAAGCTAAGGCCTGTCATCTCGCCGCTTCTCTAAGAGCCGACGCAGCGGATATCCTTCAGACTCTTCCCGAAAACAAAAGGTTAGATTTCGAAGCTCTGTCCGGCGCCTTGGAGTTGCGCTTTGGGGAGAAGTGTTTAAAAGACTACAGCAGGCTCCAATTAAAATCTCATCAACAGAAGCCTACCTACCGAAACACTTCAGGAGCTCGCCGCGGATGTTGAAAGGCTGTCCCATCTCGCCTTTTCGGAATGCCCGACAGAAACAAGGGAAATCCTGTCCTTGCAAATACTTTATCGACGGCAATCCGAGATACTGAAATACAGAAAGCTCTACGAATGGCGGATGTAAAAGATTTAAAAAGTGCTCTAGTGTACGCCGTGAAATTTGAGGCAGCCCAGCAAGCCACTCATCGAGACCGCCACCCAGTCAGAGCTGCTCAAGTCCAGGAGCCAGGGGATCAAGTCACCGCTCGACTTGACGATTTAACTAGACAACTGAACGCCTTGAGACGGAGGACATCGGTGAGAAGAAACCGACCGTTAAGTGCTGGAACTGCGGTGCTGAAGGACACATACGACGAAACTGCAAAACACCCCAGGGTACTGATGTTAAGACCGCTTCTAACAAGCAGCAGGGAAACTAATTAGTGGCCATCTCGCGGGGCGGAGGTTGCCAGATAATGAAAAGCCCCCGTTTTAAAGCGCTTCAGATTTCTGCAGTGAGAGGCGGCAGTAATGGACTTTTCATAATAGGACATATTAATGGAGTTCCGTGCAATATGACTATAGATACAGGAGCCAAACGTCACCATCATCCGAAAAGATTTGGCTCAACAACTAGGAAACAAACTTATCTGGACGCCGCCCTGCGTTACCCTCCAGACTGTGTCCGGTGAGAAGATCGACATCGACGGAAAAGTAAATGTTAACATCACGTTTGGAAGTGCCGCTTACCATCACACGGCATATGTAGCAGAGATCACTGATTCTTGCATACTCGGATTGGACTTTCTAAGGAAATACAATTTTTACTTGGATTTTAAAAATAACGAATTGCACTCTACATCTGAGGACATAGCGTTATTTCTCGTTAATGATGAAGAAGTTAAATCTGTCCATAAAATCATAGCACAAGACTATATCACAATACCGGCAAGAACAGAAATTTTACTTCCTGGATCCATAGCCGAAAATAGAAATTTCCGCTACGGCATCATAGAATATCCCAATAACTGTAATATCCCAAAGGAGTACTAGTAGCCTCAACACTCGTCGACCTATCCAGAACGGTTATCCCGGTGAGAGTCGCCAATGTAACTGAAAAGTCGAGAGTTATTAAGAAAGGTGAAGTGGTTGCAACATGTACTCCAGTAACCAGCATTGAAAGAAAGAGTAACATCCCAGAATCCGTGTCCTCAGAGAGCATTACATCGGAGTTATTGCAGAATGCACAATTAAACGATAAAGAGAAAAATGCTGCCGATCGCGTCATTAAAGATCTTCAAGTTGTTTTCTTCCACTCGTCTTCTGACGTGGGTCGAACTAGTTTGACACAACATAGAATAGATACTGGCGATCATCCCCCAATCAAGCAACATCCAAGACGTCTACCGTTTGCTAAACAGGAAGAGGTGCGAACACTGTTAAAAGATATGGAAGAAGGCGATGTCATCGAGCCTTCAGCGAGTCCATGGGCATCTCCCATCGTTCTCGTCAGAAAGAAAGACGGCTCAAACAAGATTTTGCGTTGACTATCGCCGGTTGAATGAGGTTACGAAGAAAGACAGTTACCCTCTTCCTAGAATTGATGACATTCTAGACACCTCTTTCTGGAAGCAAGTGGTTCTCAACACTTGATTTAAAGAGTGGGTATTGGCAGGTAGAAATCCATCCTGAAGACCGAGAAAAGACGGCATTTACTACGGGACAAGGACTTTGGCAGTTCAAAGTGATGCCATTTGGACTGTGTAATGCGCCGGCAACATTCAAACGTCTTATGGAGACTGTTTTGAAAGGCCTTTCCTACGAAGCCTGTCTGATATACCTGGACGATATCATCATCGTCGGAAAGAGTTTTGAAGAGCATCTAGAAAATCTTAGAAAGGTGCTTCAGAAACTGAAAGAGGCCAATCTGAAGCTGACTCCCGCTAAATGCAAATTGTTTCGAAAGGAAGTGACTTACCTGGGACATGTCATCTTTGCAGAAGGTGTGCGCACGGATTCTGAAAAGGTATCAGCGGTTAAATCCTGGAAGCGTCCGGAAAACGTCCATCAGCTGAGAAGCTTCCTAGGGCTTTGCACCTACTATAGGAGATTCGTGAAGAACTTTTCTTCCATCGCAAGACCACTTCACAAGCTGACAGAGAGCAAGCAAAGATTCTTGTGGACAAAGGAATGCGAGCATGCATTTAACAACTTAAAGGAAGCTTTAACATCTGCTCCAATCCTGACGTATCCTCAGCTCGACAGACCATTTATTCTCGACACCGACGCGAGCAATGAAAGTGTCGGTGCTGTTTTGTTCCCAAGGAATAGACGGCCAAGAACGTGTAGTGGCTTACTGGAGCAAGTGCCTGTCTAAACCAGGAGATAAATTAGTGTGTTGCGAGAAGAAACACAGAGTCGAAACCGTAGAACAGTGAGGAAACAGTTGCTTCGCCATAGTCAAAAGCTGTAGAACATTTCCATCATTATCTATACGGGAGAAAATTCCTCCTCCGCACGGATCATGCCTCATTGACATGGCTTTTAAATTTCAAGAATCCTGAGGGTCAAATAGCCAGGTGAATTCAGAGACTCCAGAAGTATGACATCACTATCCGTCATCGGAAGGGATCATCACACGGAGACGCCGACGCTCTGTCTAGAAGACCTTGCCCAGAAAGGTGCCGATATTGTTCCAGGGTCAAAGCGAATACGAGCTGCTGAGTCCGGTCACAAGACAAACTGCAACATCAACATCTGCTGATCGAGGCCCATGGAGTGACAAAGAAGTTAGGAAAGACCAGCTGGAAGACGGCGACTTATTAAACCCATAATTGAATTAATAGAGTCATCAAACAGAAAACCTACATGGCAGGACATTTCATATCTGTAGTCCGACAACAAAACAATACTGGGCACTTTGGGATTCACTTCACATTCGAAACGGCGTCTTATACCTGGAAATTCGAAGTCGGATGAAATGGAAGACTTTTGCGATGGCAACTGATACTTCCAAGATCCCGGATTCCTGATGTCCTCAAAGAACTACATAACAGCCCTACAGGAGGTCACTTTGGAATTATGAAGACCTTACAGAGAGTTCGTGAGCGCTTTTACTGGAATAATGCAAAGAATGACGTGCAAAAGTGGTGCCGATCTTGCGATGCCTGTGCAGGTCGAAAGGACCGAGGAAACGCAGCCGAGGCAGACTGCAACGTTACAACGTAGGTGCGCCTTTTGAACGTATCGCCTTTGACATCCTGGGACCTCTGCCACGAACTGCTGATGGCAACAAATACATACTCGTTGTCATTGATTACTTTACCAAGTGGCCTGAAGCTTATCCTATTCCTGATCAAGAGGCAGTCACAGTATCTGAGGTAATGATACAGCACTGGATTTCCAGGTTCGGAGTGCCTCTTCAGTTACATTCCGATCAGGGAAGGAATTTTGCCTCGGCAGTAATCAAAGAACTATGCAAACTACTTGGCATTGACAAAACTCAAACGACGCCATTGCATCCCCAGTCGGACGGCATGGTAGAGAGGTTCAATCGAACCATCCTTAATAACCTCTCATTAGTGGTTTCCAGAAACCAACAGGACTGGGACAAGAAATTACCACTCTTTTTACTGGCTTATCGCAGTGCTGTCCACGAGACTACCGGCTATTCTCCATCACAGATGCTCTTCGGTCGTGACCTTCGTCTGCCTTGTGATCTATTGTTTGGCCGCCCTCCGGATGCTCCTTCATCGTCTGAGGAATATATTCAAGATCTCCAGGCCCGGTTTGAAGTGATGCACAATTTTGCACGAGAGCGAGTCAACTTGGCGACGGAGAAGATGAAGACCCGATACGACACAAGAGCTACTGAACATCAATTCCCACGAAGGAGACAAGGTGTGGTTGTGGAATCCGACTCGACGGAAAGGACTTTGTCCAAAATTACAGTCACCTTGGGATGGGCCGTACACAGTCCTAAACAGGCTGAATGACGTCGTGGTTCGGATTCGTAAGTCTTTTCGAACTCTAACCTAAAGTCGTTCATTACGACAGGTTAGCTCATTACTATGGCCATAGTACATAATGTAAATAATTGTAAATAGTATAAGACCATGGTCCATTTTGTTTTAAATGTGTATTTGATTTGTTTTATGTATTGCATTTATTGTTCATGTTGTTTATTATTGTAATGTAATGCTTATTAATGCATTTATGCCACAGTTTGTAAGTTTAGCTTCCTGTCCAGGGATTGTACTGCCCGGGACGTGCAGTCCTTGGGAAGGGGACAGTGTTACGAATTTGGTATTTAAAAAGCTAATGTTAGTTCAATTACAAATTAAATGATTTATTTATTTCTCACGCAGTGCAGCGCGTGACGAATATTAAAAGAAAGCTAAGCCGTAAAATTGAAATTACAAGAGCGCGTGCATTAAATAAATAAATATCTCTTTTTGATTTCGAGAAAGTACTACTGGAAAATTCTAGCGCGTGATTTTAAAATCTTATAAAGGAGGAAAACATCTCAGTTTTGTAGTAGTTGCTTTAGTTTGTTGTTGTTTAGAAAACTGCTCTTGTTGATTGTAGCGAATTCGCGGATTAGCGTTCTTTAGCTGTTTTTAATTGCGTTCTATTGGACATTTGAGTAGTTAAAAGATAACTACTGTGAGATATTGTAATACTGCATGATAATTTGAGAAAATTTAAGCATTTTTGTTGTGATAATAATAAATTTTTTTTTGTTCATTTTTCATCGGACTTGTGCATTCATTTCATAACGAACCCGTACGCACGCAACAATACGTTTAAAAGAATCACAGTATAGTGTTCGACTCTTGTGGTCACACATTCAGTATAGTATGTTATTAAGACATGCTACTAGCTGCACAAGTGACCAAAATGCACCACCCACAATTGTTATCGTTAAAAAAGTTCAGTCCTTTCTTTTTTCAACAGTCCTCATATGTAAATAAATTTTTAAATTATAGCACACTATATTAGTAACATATTTCGGAAGGAAAAGGGAATTTATTTTCTTAATGAAGTTAATTAGCTTTTCTTACATGCACAATAGCATTTTTTATTATTGTTGTTTTTATTACACATGGGTTGAATCATGAATTTCAGAAACATTTGGTTTTGCGTAAATATTTACTTTTGGGTATATATCAGGCTATCTAATTTTGAATACATGAGCTGCTTATACACATACACACATAAGAAAAAAAATTTAAAAATTTTAGGACCTTAAATGCCAATTTAGCAGTTTTAAGAGCGTACAGCTGAAGTACCAAAATATATAACTGGACTAACTTCAAAGTGTTTTTTTAATCATATAACTGGATGTGGGGACATTTCTAAGAAATCTAAAAAATAAGTAAATGTAATCATAAATAGGCTTCATTTTTATAATACCATTTTGCTAATTGAGTAAATTAAAAAAATTAGTTTGAAAAATACATCAGTATCTTACATATGAATATTCCCAGCTCTAATGACAAGTTTTTTTCAAAATATATACCAAAGAACCCACATTTTTTTTTTTTTTTTTTTTTTCATAAATTAAGTTGCTGCACAACTTGAACAGATTATAAATACTTTTTCCATATTTGAAAATTGTTAGTGAGCTTCCAAAATACAAAAACTATTTAATTATTAACTCTTTTAAATATTTAGCTTTAAAGTACATAAATAATTCTTGTCAGAGTGAAAGGAATTTTAGTATTTCAGATTTCATATTAAATGCAATGTGGTAATATTACGCAACTTTAGAATACTCTAAAAGGTTTTAAAATTATTCAAAATTCATCTTTATACATAAGACATCAGTTTTATAGAAATCTAAGGCTTAAAGTTCTACATCTAATATTTTGATTTGTACATGAAACACATACATACATTTGATATGAACATGAATACATGGAAAAAACTTTAAAATATATAAAATAATATATACCTGTATTGTAGAATATGGGCAGCATGGGCATTTGTATGGTTTTTCACCGGAATGTTTCATTTTGTGACGCCTCAGAGAATTGTGATCTCCAGTTCGATATTCACATTGGTCACACTTAAATGGCTTTTCGCCAGTATGCTGTCTCATGTGCATGCGTAAGCTACTTTTTTTGGTGGCAGCATGATTGCAATAATTGCACAAAAACCGCTTTCTCTTATTGTGCTCTGCATCTTCATGAAGGCGCAAAAGTCGCTTGGATGGAAAATGACTGGGGCAAAGTTTACACCTGAAATCATCTTTTTTCTGTTTTTTCTCATTTCCAGAATGAATGACCTAAAATAAAGCAAACAGAAATTCTGAATATATAAATTCTCACTTAAAATTGTGCGCATCTAAAGATCATCTTTGATATAACTGAGATTGCAATTTGCATTATATAAGGTGTCTATATAAGAAATGTGCAACGTCATGTATTCAGAGTGATTGACTAGATCCCCCTTTCCCAAACAGAAATAAAAGCAGTAAATATTTGTGGCTTGCATAAAATTGCAGTAAGGATTCAGAGAAAACAATAAATATAAAAAATAAACAATGAACAAAATACCACACAAGAAAGCAATGACACTTTCCAGTTAAAGAAGACACTGCATCACCTTCTGCAGTATTTGAAATTTAAGTGTTACAAATCAAGTGATTAAGTTTGCCAAGTCTTATGACTAAGATGAATGGCCATTTTAATGAGTAAGCTCCAAAGTAACTTGACTATGGTTCACCAAACATTAAGGCTTAGCATTTTTATTAACAGTATCCCTAAAAATAAAAATAATTTTTGCAGAAAGAATAGCAATTTTCCATAGTTTTAAATGTCACTGTTTCACAAAAGTACAACACAAAGCCAGTACAGTAATGCCACAAAGTACATTCACAAATGCCAATGCCTTACCCAGGATTTGAATCGGGAGTCTGATGGTTTGGCAATAAGGTAACATTTATCACTATACTATCCAGGATGATTAATAAAAAATGAGACATCAAACAATAAGTGCAGATGTTCTTTGATATTAGAACAGGCATCGGCAACCTCTTTTCACTGCAGGTCAAAATCAACCAAAATGTAGGTATTAAGATGATGTTTTGGGTCAAAGGCATTTTAAATTTTAAATTAATGTTTGGTTATTATTAAAAAAGACTATTTTAAAATAGTCTTTTTTAGTAATAACAAGATTGAGAAAATTTTTTGAGAAAAATTTTTCCATTTTATTGAGAAAATAATTACACTATGTTTTAAAACATAAAAATTAAAATTATAATTCTGATTATTATAAAAGCAAACATAACTGAGAGAACTTTACTTTTATCTCCAATATCAATAGCTTCCTGGCAATGAACTTGTAACATCAATTTAGTGAAGTCTTGCTTATAATTTGTCATCTTAAGACGAATACAAACATCTGAATTTTTGCTAGTTAAGCTGCTCTTGTTCTTACTTAAAATAAATTTCATGTGTGAAAATATATGCTCATATTTATAAGTTAAACCTAATGTGGACCAGAGCCAATTTTTTGTAATTATGAATTACGGATCAATGTTCCCAAATTTATTGATTTCTCATTGAAACTACGTTACAATTTTTTTAAATGCATATTTGTTATTGCAACTTTGTAATCAAACAGAAATGTTTTTGTTGTTATTTATTTTCAGTTTATTTTTACGCATTCTTCAAGTGTTTGTTTCATATTTATGTTTTGTATACAGTCAAAAGTCGTTAATCCGGACTCGTCGGGACTTTGGAGATTCCGGATTATCGATTTTTCTGGATTATAGATCATCAGTTTAAATCTGGTAAGATGGCATACAGAAATTATAAAATAAAAAATATGAAACCATAATTTACGAAATGAAGAACAATTATGATCTAAAGGGTATCAAAATTTACAAAAAAAAAAAAAAAAAAAAAAAGCTTAATATTTATTTGTTTACTTTATTAAACATTTTTTTCAATGTAAGTTGTTTAAGTTGCTTCGTTTTATGTGATAATACTTTCTCTTTACTTTATCGGAAGCGGATTATAATGACGAGGAATTTGATTTAAATCATATCAAAGACGGAGTACATTGAGATGAAATACTAGATTTAGTAAGGAATTATAAGCCAAATAAAATAAAAACATCTGCCCTGAAGATAAGGATAGTGCTGACAGATTACCTTTCAATTCATTGTGCGCCGCGGCGTTTTCCCCCCCAGACCGCAGAGCAGCGTGAAATTGATAAACAGATTTCGGAATGGTTTGAGAAACAAAGGATATGCCTTTATCCATTTTTTGCAGCAATTCCACTTTTGTTTAATGAACTTCTAAACATACTTTTGCTTTGGTAGATCCTTTACATATTATTAAATATATATCGGAAATTCTATTTGACATAATCGAAAGTTCAAGCTTACTTTAATAAAATTGCTCTAACAGTGTGCAAAAAATAATAAGCCGGATCCAATTCGAAGATTAAGAAACAACACAATCTGCAACATTAACTTAATTAGATAATTTTAGCTTAGCTTATACCGTCCGTTACACATTAAACGCACAAGCGAAAATGTATTACGCGCATGCGCACACGCATATTCGCAGCCGTAAAAGTCTTACGTGCATGCGTCAATGCGACGCATGCGCAGAAAGTTTGTAGCTTTGAGGTCCGAATTAATGACTTTTGACTGTATTATACTTTATTTTCTGAACTCAAGTGCATCACTTGAAATTATAAAATGGGTCACTCGGTGACCTGCAGATCATAGGTTCCCAAGGTCTGCTATAGTAGGCAATCTCCTACATAGAAAATCTGCGTATGGCTTCAAAACACATGAGAAAGACCATAAAAATTCTAACACAGAATGGCTTATGGTAGGCAGATGACTGTAGAATTCTTTTTCCTTAAATAAGCACTTACTACCATAATGCATCCACATGTACAAGGCAGGGAAAGAAATGGAAACAAAAGACACATCGATCCAAAATCAATGTTTTAATGCATTGTGATTTACATAGCTAGAAAGAAGAATTTGAAAGTTTTATTCCTGATTATTATTAGAAAGGCTGATGCAAAACAAACTTGACCTCTGATTTACACACCCAAATAACAGAAATGATATGGCATCACATTAATGATGCTTTTGAATGTGTGAAATGAGATAGAGCACACCTCAAGTTACAAATGACATTCAAAAAGACGTATACTAAAACTTTTTTAGTTCTTCCCAGCTAAATAAATCACAATGCAATAAACGTATTCATTTTGGATGTTCATGTCATTCTTTTTCATTACTTCTTTCCCTGGCATCATGTGTTGTAAAAATTCATACTTCTACAACTTCAGGATACTCTAGGTAACATTTTCCAGAAAAAAAGTTGCACTTTCTCGTATATGTAGTGTTTGAAGGATAAACATTCATGTATAACTATAAATGTTTAGTTACAGAAACCTTAAAATAAAAGGAAAATGCACAGTAATAAACAATAATCACAATTTCAGAATTCAATGTATGTTACTGAAAGAAGCAATAGCATTAAGTTGAACACTTTACAAAATACAGTCCAACATGATTCAGGTAAAATCAGATTTGATGACTATTTTCATAAGTCTGGCCAAAATATATAAAATCAGTAAAAAATTATACTGTGTTAAAATATTTTTAACTGTATGTATATACCTATAATATGACACAGTTGGATAACAGGTAAATAAAATAAATTTATAAATAAATAATTAAAATCAAATCTCAGATGTTCTTAAATTGGAGAGAATTGTTTTCGATATCACATAATGTAAAATGATTTTTTCTTTTGATTCACTTCTGTTCTTATTTATGAAGAATCAATTTCATAAATTATTAGGAATAATTAAAGGGGAAAGAAAGGAAAATTAGCACAAGACAATTTATACATTCACTCACACACACACACACACAACACACATATATATATATAAATATACCCTATGGTTTCTTAACTGCTTTCCATTTTTGAATTTTTTACCACATGTATCACAAAGAAATAAGCATTCATCTTGATGAATCCTTTTATGAAGATTCTCTAAACGACTCAGACTATAAGTACTGAAAAAGAAAAAGGAAAATTTAAAGCATGAAATTTTATATTAACAATAAAATTGTTTTCAAATTTGATCTAGTTCTAAACATTATACCCTGAATTTATTACAGAATAAATATTTGTTCAGTTATAAAATTAAAATAATTAAAAAAAAGTAATGCTTAATAAGAGGATTTTGTGAAATTAAGGAGCCAATACTTTTTTACAGACATAATCATTTAGTATATTAATCTTTTCACTTCCAGCATATCATACGCGATATATTTTAGTTATTCCCTAACAAACATATTGCATTCAAATATGATAATACAATAAAGTATCAATAGCAACCCACTGTGTCTCACTTAATATGCCAAAATGGAATGTTTTACTTGAAATTTCAAATGGTAATAAATGGCAATAGAATTCAGTGAAACTTAATTTCTTTAGTGCTAATTTTGATATCATGAGTTTAAATTTACTCTGTAGATGTAAAATGTGTGATACTGCTCTTGATACAGACTTCAAAAAGTGAATTCACAATGAAAAAGCTTTTGTTTTTGTACATGAGTGTCACACAATACACAATACAAATTGGTCTTTTGAATTTTCTCTTTTTCTGAACATGGCAAACAATTATTTACTTGAATTTCTGATATAACAGATATCATGATTTTAATAAAATAACCATCAACCTCTGTATTTTAAATGAGAATTACTACATAAGCCATTCATTTGAAAAGCTAAAAAAAGGGAAGAAGGATAGAAGAGATGGACTTTTATTAGGCGCCTGAGTCAAGTTGCCAACATTCTAAATGACAACACTGACAAGGAGTCTGTGAATTTCTTATCCAGTCATGCAAGGCTTTTACAATAAATATAAAATGAAAACTGTTATGTCCAGACATTCATTTAACTAAAGTAAATTAGGCTCTACTCTTATATGCACCCTAATTTCAACAAATGTGGCGATATGTGTTCTGCGCTGGTTTTTGGCACAACTGCATGGTGCATGGCAACCCTGTTGACGTTGAAAAATCTTTTGCTGGAGTGGTTTAATTGCTTGTTAGTTTGTGTCGTGCCTGTTTTGAAATGGCCTATGTTACAATGATAGACGTGGTGGCAAGATTTCAGTTGCATATTTTAGATTGTGTGAAAAGTAAATTTAGTATTAAAAGGTACGATGTTGGAGTTGTTAACAAGTCTTTTATTCACGGGTGTGTTTATGAAGATTGAAGTGTATTTTTGGAATTTCTGTGGAACTTTTAAAACACAGCGCGAAACGCGAAGCTGGTATGAGAACTTGGACGAAGAAGGGCGTTTCTGATAGTTCCTGTGTGGATTGCAGTTAAATTGTTGTTGTTAAAGTACGTGGCTGTCAGCGGAGTTTAAGATTTGGATTGTGGTTTTGGTGTACAAAGTTAACTCTGGAGGAAGTTTTTATCATTACTTTTGAATTCTGAATCTCAGAAAGACATGTGATATAGCAAAATCGTGGCACTTTTGTTCAGAGATGTTGTGTGACTGGTGAAATTTTATTTAGGAATGTATTATGGTCAGTGCACATTTTTTTTACTGTTTTTATTTTGTAAAATGTAATGTTCATTGTTTTTTTACTATGAATTTTTGTTGTTATTGTTCTTTTTTGAATTGTTTGTAATTTAGTTCAGTTTATTTAGTTGATTTGTGCGCAATGCCTAGATTGTGCAATTCGTAGATGGTTTTTTAAGTTTAAACAGAATGCTGTGTTTTTTTTTTCGGTTTTTTAACTTAAATTGTGTCTTCAAAACGTGGCTTTTGCATGTGTGAAAACTGCGTTTTTGGAGACATTTTAGGCTTAAAATTAAAAAGTAGACAAAAAATTTAGGTAGTAATATGGTGGCATGGAGTTTCTCACCAAAAATGTTTGGCAAGAAATTAGACGATCTGACGACGTATGTAAGAGTAGTTCCCTAAATTAATCTAATTAAAAATAAATAAATAAAAAAAAAAACAGAATAGATATCACAATCATTTATTTATACCTATCTGCATCCTTTTACAAAACAGAAACGAACCACTTATCCCCTTCCCATTTGAACATATTGTTACGAAATAAAAAAGGTGCAGTGAGATGGCTTCCCCCGCAAAGCAATTTTAGGGTTAAAATGGCAAGGGAAGGCAGGGTTACCACATTTGGCGAGAAATCGCCCACTTGGCGACATAATTGGTGATATACCATGGACGGTTGGAGAACCTTCTGAAAGGAATTCTTACCGGTTTAGCCCAGAATGTTCTTGAACACAGACCGAAAGCTATATAAACCTTGCTGGTCCGCAGTCAATGTGTGTGTGTGTCTCTTATCAAGTGTGTGTGCCTCACATAGAGTGCGAGTTAGTGTCTCGTCTAGTGAGTCAATAGAGTTGACAGCCGGGCAGAGAGTGCTGAGTGGGTTCGAGTGCATCGAAAAAGAGTCTCATAGTGTATCGCAGTTAGTGCATCGTCGAGAGAGCGCGTTGAGCTCCGGGAATGACTGAACTGAAGAGTCAGGAGCTGTGCTCGTGTGTCGTTGAGTGCATCACGAGTTGTAGCGTGGAGAGTCTCGAGAGTATGTGGAGTTCCGAGAACAACCAAGCAGAGTCGGGAGTTGTACTCCAGAAAGCAGAGTCGGGTGCTTTGCAGGAAGCTGTCTCCACCGTAATAGCCTGATAACCTGAAGGCTATGTCGCTGATCATGTCAGCGTATTTATAGTAGTTCATCGACGACTGTAAAACGTGTTTTGGAGCTGTCCTGACAATATTGGCAAATAAAGTGTGTTTTGATACTTCATCAAGTGTCGTCATTTTTCACTCCAAATCCACACAAACCAGGTATGAACGTGAAGGAAGAAAATAACGCAACAACTGGTGTCAGAAGAAAAAGAAAACGCAAGAATATTTTGTTTTCAATGCAAAAATGTATTTAAAAAAAATTAAGAGAGGTATCAAAAGCTCACACACTCTACAATAAAAAGAAATAATACAGAATTAACTATTATAATTTGAAAAAAACCTTGTTTGTTGTCCATTTCTCTACAAAATTATTATTCAACTAAACGCACTTCTTAGCCTATATATCTACCCTAAAAATGACTGGTATAAAATTAGAAGACATCAATTTCCTCAGATGCTCGTAGACTGCTGAAATCACATAATGAGGATTCTGAAAACATTTTGTGCGCATGTTTCCCTAGATTTTTCGAAAAAGACAAAAATCACATAGGGTGATAGTTGAGTGTGCAGGTACAAGGCTCAGTGTGAATGAAGTCTGCGGCTTAGGCTTACCAACAAGCTGGGGTGTTGTGAAATTTGCAGTAGTGTACAGCTACCAATTTATTGTACTAATTGTATCAAAATTTTACAATCATAAACATAAATAAATATATACTCTATCCTTCTTTTTAACTATACTAACTTTAGAAATACAATTATTTTCAAATAAAACAAATTTTAAATATTTAAAGTTATTTATTTTTACTGCATGTAGAGAAAATTATTGTAAATATTCTATTACCGGAAAGGACACTGATCACAGGCATGCAGTTCCATGTCATTATTATGAGATCTCCATAAATGACCAGCAACTGCACCCCACTTTTCAAAACCCATTCCACACTCAGGACAAGCAAATGCATTTCCACCTGATACATGGCACTTTTTGTGATACTCAAGATTATCCAATGCACGAAAACGTATGTTGCAGCCTTTAAATTCACATCTGAGAAAGAGAAATAAAAAAATAAGAAATTTTATATCATTAAATTACATACATATATACATATATATATTTAAGAACATTACGCTCAACAAAAAATATATTATATATATATATATATATATATTTGCATTTTTTTTTTTCCCTCCCATTTTCCCATTTCTTCCCCAAAAAAAAAAAAAAAAAAAAAAAAAAAAAAAAAAAACTATTTAAATCCCTCCTATTAACTGCATAGTATTTCACACATATGAGTAAACAGAATATTCAGCAACTAATCAGCTGTATATAAAAGTGATTTGACACAAATGATTGATAAAAATTTCAATGACAGATTTGGTGTAATAACAGTATTGATATAAAATAGAAAAGTAGGCTATTGAAAATTCTACAGGTAACGTTCATTTGTTGCCAAAAGTTTTCTGCTAGACACTTAATGCACTACAGAATACTTAGAAATCAAATAATTGGAGATTTAGTTTTTTTCCCATTTTCACAGTGCCCCAGTTCTTAAATGGTGCCTGGGGCCCACCAGTGGCTGAGCCATAAAATAGCTGCACACTGGTTGTTCCACCCTAAGTTCAATTCCAGGCAAAAGGGCTGGCTGCATGAGAGTTTTCATTGTTTTCCCCATGCATAAATTGTACATGAACCAGTTTCCCTTAGAAAGACATAATCAATCCCTTTTCCATAATCAATTAAACCAAACGTAAATGGTGCCTAGAATAGTGATAAATTGCCAATGACAATCCTAAAGTAAAATACTTAAATTTGGGAAAACAAAGCACATGTGCTACTTCTTTAGCCACTGTGAGAGCAAACATTTGACTGGATACAAAAAAGAAAAGAGCAGATTGGTTTCGAATTAATTTTAAGATACGTACTGTATTTAATTACTGGATCTAAATATTTATTTATATATATAGAGAGAGATAGAAAAGTAAAATTCTCCAAACGACATGAATTTTTTGTAAGGTTATGAATTATTAAAGGTCTTGAGTTGCTACCGTGTGATGATATTGCAAGATCAGACTGGCAGTTTTATAAGAAAATTAAAATTTTGATATTTGTGGATTATTAGTTCCAGAATTTCCTACAAAGATTCAATATAAATTTAAACTGAAATATTGAAAATAAACTGCATTTTAAAAATGTTGAAAACATCTTTAAAAACAAGATCAGAAATTACAAGATTTCACGAAATGCCTTACTTGATACCAAGAACATTTCTTCCTTACACAGTTATAATAATTTTTTATATAGATATTCATGTTCATTCGAGTGCTATTTTATAGTTTACCTTTGTCCCAATGCATTCATATTCATGTTAAAAATATTCCATTCATAATAAAGTACCTTCAATTTTACATAAGTTCTTATATCATTTTTTTCATTGATATTTATTTTGCATCTCAAATGTTCAAGTATGTTACTTCGGTACTCTGTTATTGTTATTTGGACTGGATTCAGAAATATATATATATATACACACACACATACACGTATGCATGCATGTGTATAAATGTATGGTGAGTATACACACACACACATACATACATACATATGTATATACACATAAATGCAATGTATACATGAACACATCCATCCATACATATGTATATACACATAAATGCAATGTATACATGAACACATCCATCCATACATATATGCATACAAGCATTCATTTCTGAATCTGGTCCCAATGACAGATGAGTACCCTTATTTCTTTTTTATGCTAATATCTGGAATGTAAGTGAAGATGTAGAATGGGGAAAATGTAAGATATCCCAGACTTGTGCAGCATTTGAAAACCAGTTAGTGTATGAAAAAGAAAGTTTACTTGGGGGATAGAATAAACAATGGATTCTGTTGACAGGGCATACTTTATTCCTGCATAATTTGGTAAACATGCCTTAATTTGGTTATTTATCTTTTACCCTTTTTAAAACCTAATTTGCTATAAAAATGTTTTAAAAACAAAAGATATTCTGATTAAGAGACTAAACTAAAATTTCAAACAATTTGATAAGAATTGGCAAAACTAGAACTGTTGAAAAAATTGGCATTCCTATATCAACACTAAAATCAGATGTTTCTTAAAATAAATAAATAAACAAATAAGAAGGAAAGAAAAATATAAAAAACATTCATTTCTGATTCAGTAACATGCAAAAAATCTACTTAAAAAAAGTCAGTAATTAAACGTTGGAAAATGACTACTATTTATAATTTGGATGGCTGTATAAATTTAAATTGCACCAGAGAGTCTCATTATATCATAAATGATAATCCAACGATGCCCCACTTGAATCAGCTGAAGACTTTTTTGAGAATTTATTCAAAGAAGCAATAAATACCAGCTGAAAGATATGTTAAATATCAATGACACAAGTCTCTTCTTTCTCACACAAAGCCTAACTTTTAAAAATGACAAGTGAAATGGAATCGAGAAAAATATCGATCACTCAACTATTTTACTCTGTGTATATACATGCTGTAATGAAATATATACCCTGAGCTACAACAAAGTTACAAAAATCAAAATGTTTTAAAAAAGGATGGATCACGGCAAATATTTTCACAGAAAGCCTCAAGAAAATTAGCAAAGTCACAAAACTTTTGCCATGAAATTTTGATATTTATAATTAAAATTACACAATTTGGTATCTTAGGACTTTTAAAGAGAAGTATTTCTTTTCCTTAAATACAAGATTGAGATTTTAAACAAACTAAAAGTAAGAAGATAAAATTAAATCCATATCACAGTAAGTAGCCTTTAATGTTTACAGTTAAAATATGCACATCTCATCCTAAACTAAAATTTTGATTATACTTCTTCTCTGAACATTCTCTTGATAGACATATAAACAGCATCACTCTATATGCAAAGTCTTAGCTATGCCTTATCTTCCAAATTCAAATAAATCCAGAAATAGGTAAAAAAACATCAAAAATGTCCTAATATATAATGAATTTACTTGACAACTACGTACAAATAAATATTTCACAATTTAGTTAAAACGAATTCTCTCATGGCCCTTGTGAAGAAAATCTGATCTCGCTCAAAATATATTCCAAACATGACATACTGGCAAGTTTTGAAATATATTAAAAGAATTTAATGTTAATAAAAGATGCTGTGCATTAGCATATTATGTTTGGAATACTTAAAAATCTACAAATCATTAAAAAGAAGTTTAACATTTGTATGCATACAAGCCAGAAATCATGCTACTTAATCATGTGGTCTAATAAATTTAAAAGAATTCAGTAATCTAGAATTTAAAAAAAAGTTTTTAACAGCACTCAAATTTATCAGTAACATGCCACTGAAAGGACTTCTTAAACCACTTTTTTAATTTCTTATGTTGCATTGAAATACATTGGCCACAAGTTGACGATTTAACAAGTAAGTAATATTTACTCTTATAACCAAAAATATTAAAAGCATTTTTCAAATTTAGTACACTATACAGCTGCAATAATAATTTGGTACTTTTCCATTTCGCTGGCGCAGGCGATAAAGCTGCCAATAATGGTACAACTGATGCCAAAAGGAATATCCTCACTGGTAACCTTTTACGCCTCATTTTCAAAACAAGTCACAGCCATTTCTTATCAGATTGATTGGTTATTTCAATACTGGCATACAATTATATAGAATTTTTACCATATAGTACAATTTTATGCCCTAAGGCCATTCGCGGTAATTAAGTCAATTAGAATGCAATCACACCGCTCACCGGAAGGCAAAAAATATAGAAGTCAAAGGTTAAATTCATGAATTCTAACGAGAATACACTAGCGAAGTAAAGCACTGCGGTTTTACATAATTTCTGAGTAAGCTATTCGTACAAATTGAAATAATTCTTGCATTTAAATTTATTTTCCAAATTAAATTGTAACTTGGAATTAATGTAGATAATTAGATTTTTGTAGCGTAGTTTATGTGAGATGAGATCATTTGGGGTCACATGATATGAACTGACGAATCAGCATGTTGAACCATGAAAGCATAACAGATTCTTAATGTCTTTTTACAAATTTAAAGTCTTTATTTATTGGATTTTCACAAAATTTTAAACGGTATTAAAATGTTTATGCCTTCAAAATAAAAATTCTTAGAACTAACATTTGTTAACTTTTTTTATGTGTAAACTGTGTGTTGTCGCCAATAAAGTCTGCTTGGCAAGATTTGCTCCGGCGAAACGGAAAAGTACTAATAATTTTATTGTTTATACAGTCAAAAGTCTTTAATCTGGACTCGTCGGGACTTCAGCGATTCCTGATTATAGATCATCAATTTAAATCTGATAAAATGGCATGCAGAAATTATAAAATTAAAAATATGAAACCGTAATTTATGAAATAAAGAGCATTTATGATCTAAATGGTATCAAAATTTACAAAAAAAAGCTTAATATTTATTTGTTTACTTTATTAAGCATTTCTTTCAACGCACGCATGCGTAAAGCATACATCACGCATAGTCGAAATTAGAAAATTGCAACCAGAAAACTATTTGATGTGTATTTGTGATATTTATAATGACGAGGAATTTGATAAATCAAATCAAAGACGGAGTACATTGAGATGAAATACTACATTTAGTAAGGAATTATAAGCCGAATAAAATAAAAACATCTGCCCTGAAGATAAGGATAGTGCTGACAGATCAACTTCCAGTTCATTGCGTGCTGTGATGTTTCCCTCCCCGCGGAGCAGCGTGAAATTGATAAACAGATTTCGGAATGGTTGGAGAAACAAAGGATATGCCTTTATCAATTTTTTGCACTATTTTTGTTAGATGGTCATCGAAACATGCTTTCGCTTTGTAGATCCTTTCGCAGCTCCAGGTTCGGAAATTCTTTTTAACATAATCGAAAGTTCAAGCTTACTTTTATAAAATTGCTCTAACAGTCTGCAAAAAATAATAAGCCTGATCCAATTTGAAGATTAAGGAACAACACAATCTGCAACATAACTGAATTAGATAATTAGATAATTTTAGCTTAGCTTATACCGTCCGTTATACATTAAATGTGCATGCGTAAACGTATTACGCACATGCGCAGAAACTTTGTAGCTTTGAGGTCCGGATTATAGATCATTCCGGATTACGGACTTTTGACTTTAATATTGTTTGCAATGTTTTAACAAAAAATATGGGGAAAGTGCAGAATCGCCCACTGCTTGGCACGTTTTTAAGAATTGCACATCCTCAGTATCCATGTACACATTGACCTATTTTCACTTAAAAAAAATTCTCAGACTTGCACAAAAATGGCATTGTGCACTCCCTTGACTTTATCCATGTACACATCAACCTATTTTCACTTAAACAGTCAAAGAAAACTGACAAAACTTCAATTCTTCTTACTCTTGTAAAAAGTGCCAAACAAATAAGTGGGCGATGCTGAACTTGAGCCAAAAATATATTACCACTTGGCAACACTTCTGAACTTTTTGTAGAACTACAGTACAAAGTCTTTAATCCGGACTCGTCGGGATTTCGGCGATTTCAGATTAGGGGTTTTTCTGGATTATATATCAATTTAAATTTTGTAAGATGGCATGCAGAAATTATAAAATTAAAAATATAAAACCGTAATTTATGAAACAAAGAGCAATTATGATCTAAAGCATAACAAAATTTACTGAAAAAAAGCTTAATATTTATTTGTTTACTTTATTAAACATTTCTTTCAATGTAAGTTGTTCAAGTTGCTTCATTTTATGTGATAATACTTTCTCTTTAATTCTATAAACAGACATAATTTCTTGTTCAGTTCCACTGTTCAAGTCCTGTAATTGCTGTTTTGAGAATACTGACTAACTTGTCAATCGAAATTTTTTCGTTTTCAATAACCTCTCTGTCACTTTCTTCACTATCGGAAACGGTACATCAAAACATGCTTTCGCTTTGTAGATCCTTTGGCAGCTCCAGGTTCGGAAATTCTTTTTAACATAATCGAAAGTTCAAGCTTACTTTTATAAAATTGCTCTAACAGTCTGCAAAAAATAATAAGCCGGATCCAATTAGAAAATTAAGAAACAACGCAATCTGCAACATTAACTGAAATAGATAATTAGATAATCTTAGTCTAGCTTATACCGTCAGTTATACATTAAACGCGCATGTGTCAACGTATTATGCGCATGTGCAGAGAGTTTGTAGCTTTGAGGTACGGATTATAGATCATTTCAGATTATGGACGTCTGGATTAAAGACTTTGTACTGTATTTGAAAAATGCTGCCAAAAAAACTGAAAGTTTAATCAGAAAAAATTTCAAATTAAAAAAATACTTTCTGAGACTGATTCTTGCCATTTAGAATTTTTCAATTTCAAGCAAAATTTACTGTACACATAACTATTACTATTACAAGAACTTCAATTATAGTAAATACTTAGAATGAAGCATTTTGATTCTTTTTTCTTTTATTTTATAAAACTTATGCATTTATCTGTCCTCTAATGAAAGGTGGGGGAAAGAAATAGCTGCATAAAGAAACAAATTTATGCTATAATTTTTTTAAACATAAGAAATATTAATACATTTTAAATGCACTAACATGTATGAACCAAGCTCCCTATTCATCTTCTTCTGCCATGCCTTTTTATGCGAAGAAACTTGTTTCTTAGAGGAGACTGGAGATTCTTTAACATTCGACTTCTTGGGAGAAATCTTTACTGGTGAGGCATCTAAACTTTTTGGATAAATTTTTCTTTTCATAGTCTGAGGTTTCAAATTTTTACCAACACTTTGAATTATACTTTGATTGCAGTTCACAGGAATGTTAACACTAGATTGAGACCTTTGATCTTCCGTGGAATTTACAATAATGCCATTAATTGGAATTAACTGATAACCAAGTGAAGTGATTTTAGGATTCAAAGAAACATACTCTGTATTGGAATCGTGGTGAATTACAAGATGAGATTTATAATCAGATACATTAGAAAATGCTACATTACACTTAACACATTGGAAGTGATCATTACTATTCACAACATTGCTTACTGATGATATGACTGTTACATCATTTAAAATTGGAGGTACACTAGTAGTTGAAGTAATAAGATTGACTGACTCGGAATTATGAATTTCACTTTGACTTTCAACAGGTACTGATGTATTTAAATTATCAGAATTTTTAGAAGTTACAATTCCACCATCATTTCTTTTATTTGGAAAATTTTGTTCCTTGGAATGTGAAATATTTATATGATTCACAACAGAACATTTATGCATGCTGATAAAATCACAAAATTTGCATTTGAAACAACGAACCATTTCAACATCCGATTCTATTGGTATCTGGCTACATGAAAAGCATGCGTCACTTTCTGATGCAAAATTCTCATTAAATACAATTTCTGGTACCTGAATAGATATATCCTGAGTTGTGGGTACAGCTGAGACTGTGCTGGAACTTAAAAAATTTTCTGTGTCACATGATATTATATTTCTAGGAGCATTACAATTATCTAAACATGTGCGATTTGAATGCTGATTACAGCCATTCTCTTCATGCAGGCGTACGCTGGGAAAATCATGACGCAGGAGTTGGATGTCAGACAAAGAAGGTTCGTTTCCTAATAATGAATCCAAATGGTTGAGATTTATCTGAGGTAATTTATCACAGACACTCAGTGAATGAGACTGACTTTGACTGTTGGGCATTACAGATGGACTAGATGTATTAAGGCACTGGTCTGTCAAATTTGAAGGCAATGGAAGGTGAAGGAGTTCATTTTCACAAGGCAACACTGTGTTCATCAAAGAACGAGATGAGTCTATATGATGTGCATTATTGTTTTTGAACTTCTGGTACTGCATTTCATTTTTATTCATGGATATGTGCAACTGTGTACTATTTATATCATTAAAAGATGGTATCAAAAGAGAATCACTGCTTGAAAATCTCTGTATGGGTAAATCTGCAAGAAGCTTTTGGCCATCATCAATACAAGCTCTATTCAAGCCGTTCGGAACAACATCCTGGGAAGCCAAATCTGTAGGAAATCCCAAGTCGAGCATTTCAAGATGTTGGTTTTCTCTTCCAGTATGGTAAATATCCGAAACATTGGATAGAATACTTGGTGCTGATAAATTGTCAGACACTTTCATGAAATCATGAGCGAGCCATGATGGAACAATTTCTGGAAAGGCATCAGAGAAAACAGAAACGTCACTTCGCTCTTCAAAACTTGGCTCCATGTTTGCAGGAATCTGAATCTGACCTGACGAGTTAAATAAATCAATACTTGATGGACTAGAATGATTAATGGCAGATAACGGTCTTTCCAAGTTAGAAATATGCGACACTGTATCTAGAAGATGCAGTGGTGTTTGCTTTGTAGGAATTTCTTGAGTTGAAATTATTTTGTTATGTGATAAAGTCTCTTTGTAATTATGTGAAGCCATCAAAGATGATGAGTCGCAAAGAATATCAGTCAAAACATTCATCATTATGAACTTTTCCAAGACTAGATTTTTTCAAAAAAAAAAAAAAAAAAAAAAAAAAAAAAAAAGAAAAGAAAAGAAAAAAAAAGAAAGAAAAAAAAACTTGCAGCTGTCAGCTTAACATTTTGAAGACGATTTTAAACTCATACTATCATACTACAACGACTAAATTAAACTACCTCGCTATTTTTAAATGCAATACAAATAGCAGTTCTGGATTTTAATAGTGCTGAAAATCAACTATTGCTTGAAATACAAAGTGGGATTATTAAACAGCAAAAAAATATCAGTTTTATATCCCTTTCCAATTTTATTGTACAAAAATGGAGATTTAAAATGATTATACATTAGAAATATTGCGTATCTCTATGGGTCCAAAAATACATTTGCAAGATATGGTAACTGCCAGATGGATCTTTAAAATAACATTGTTAGGCGAAGGGAACAAAAATAATAGAACAATACTGTTATTAACAGCAACTTAATTGCTTATAGAAAACAAATAAGATGAACAGAAATAAAACAGACTAGAGCTTCTTTTTGAGATTCCGTATTATGCAAAAATTAAAATTGCAAGTTATGCATTGCAAATCATAAAACAATTGCATTATACATCACAGCAAATTCAATTTCTACGTTATAAGCATCAGTAATCACGATTAATTTCGGTGGATCTTGCGATCCCCCAACAAGCATTCAAAAACACAATTTAATTTTCAACTAAAATCATGTTTTCTGAGCAATTATGCAAAGGTTGAAAAGAAGAAATTCCACAGATTCCAAGAAAGACTGACTATTCATTATGCTTTTAATATAATTCCATAAGTTCATGGCAATTAATATACAGTATATTTATCTTATTCTTTCTCCGTGTCATTACATTTTTTCATTACCTTCGCGATTGTTTGTACATAATCGTGTTTAGTTGTCGCAAGACGTGATGCCATATTGAAAATTTTAAAAAGCGGGAATGATTTTAGTATATTGTATTTGAAATTATGTATTTTATATATACGATGTAAAATAATTTTAACAAGCTCATAATCTTCTTTTATGATCAAAACGAAATATTTTTCTGTATTTAAAATTTTTCATAACTCATACCTTTTAGAGAAAATCTTAAAAAGTTATAAGGTGCAGAAAATACTGATTTTATTGGACCAAAAATTTTTAAATATAATTTATAAAGTAACTATATTTTTAAACATTTCTGGTCACATAATAGTTTTTTGCAATTTAATCACATCTCCGCACACTAATGACAATGTTGTTTTCTAAATACGCCATTTTGTCCGACTAAAGCATTTAAAACCACTATATCAGAGTACTGCATAAAATTTATTTGAATCATTTGAAATGTATATTTTAAACAACGAAATTAAGTTAAGAACTCAGTGCAATACTGTATTCCCTGTAGCTTCATTGTGATATAGAAGAATAATGGTAAGTCAGTGTACTTATTTCTTGTAGCCTTGCGACATGGCGGATTGATCGGTGCACTGCGGTCAGAAAATAAAGGTAGTGGATTTGGGTGTTAGGCGGTCGACGATAATTAGTCCGTTAGTTTAGGGATGTTTTCATGCAAAGAGTAAATGAGAAAGGAAATGATATGTATTTCGTATCATTTGTTTTTTATGTCGAGATATTCGTGGGACTCTAATATTATACCGATTTATAATATGTGTTCTGCAGCTGCGTTCACTATAATTTTTCTTCGATTTTGTTCTTGTTTATCAATTTATGTACATCGGTTTCATTCATAGCATCTTTGCAACCGATAATTTTTCTTGGATATTGTTCTTGTTTATCAATTTATGTACATCCATTTCATTCATAGCTTCTTTGCAACCGATATCTATCTCCTTTTAAATTTCCTACAGTAATTCTTGTGACTTGTTCTAAAACTAGCATTGAGATTGAATAAAATCCTTTTAAGTGTAAAGAAAATTTCTTCTTTTGTTATATTATGTTCGAAAATTTCAAGGCTGAATTAAAAATACGTATATATGTATCTGTCAGGGGATTTTGTGTGAGAAACAATAGTTTAAATGTGTGCAGTGAAGGTGAAAATTGCGTAAAATATTCAGTGATTAAGGGTGAAACTTGATTTAAATTTTCTGTTTTTCAGTTACTTTTAAATAAAATTACTATAACAATTAATACATTGTACCATTCATTTCAGTTCCATCTGAGCATATTTACTCACAATAATACAATTTAAACCACTATGGTTATTGTTTCAGTCTGCTATTTGTCATTTTTAACTTCAATGATAAGTATGTCCAGATTAAGGCAGAGCAGGACTGTGTGCCTGCTGAGCTATAAAATTACATAGAATTTTCTAACAGAAACAGAAAATTAAAGAATTACATTAACAGAGGAAACGTTCATAAAACCATTTCCTTTGTCTTTGTGTTTTAAACAGAGTCATTCTGAATTCTATAAACACAAGAGCACTCTGTGTGCAGAAAAATAGAATGCTTTCTTCATTAAACCACATCTCAGTCAATAATAATTTTGTGTTTAAAGCTTGCATAATAAAATAATAATCCCGCATTTTTTACTGTTAATTTTAGAATCTGGAAGAAAAATTTCATTTTATACCAAGTATATGAAAATTATTTTCTGCCCAAATATAAAATATACAAAAAGAAATATAAAAATTTCCATTACTCTTTTAATGTTGGCATTTTTCAACATCAACAGGGTTGCCATACAACACGCAATCGCGCCAACAACACGCAATCGCGCCAAAAACCAGCGCAGAACACATCCACATTTGGTGAAATTAAGGCGTATATCAGAGTTGTACCCTATATTTAGTAATGCTTTGCAACATGACCACTGTAAAAATGTGTATTTCATTTAGTATTTTGAGCTTCAATATAACATGTGAAAATAAATGTTGGCTATTTCACTAATATGTTTCAGTGTAACAGTTTCTAAAAGTATATTTGTAACATCATCAAAGTTTACTGCAAGTATTATAGAATTCCCACTCTGTATCAAAATTATTTCTTGTGAATGGATTTAATGACAAGAAATGAAAGGCATGTTTTTACATTAATTTCGTAAAAAATATGAGCCTTCTCTAAATCATCATCAGAAAATATATAAAAATCTTAGGAGCTTCCTGTTTTGCATTGTAATTTTCACAGGTGCTAAAGTCAGAACACTTGCAGTCACTACTGTTCAACATTGGAAATTGCTGACATATAAAAGTTAGGTGTATAAGTCATATCAGATTTAATCTATCTTAAGCAAAGCTTAAAATGCTACATTAAATAAAATAAAATTGCATTAAAGGAAATTTAAAATGGAAATATTCTAGTATTTTCATTTTCAGAAATGCTTGTTTAAATAAAATGTCTTTAGAAACGTAATTCAAAGTATTTTGGTTTTGAAATACTTTGAATTGAAATTGAAAGTTTCTTGTCAAATCAAATAGAAGAAAGTTTGGTGGTACTTTTCTGTTTTGTCGGTGCAAGTTTTGTGGTTAATTAATCACAGAATTAGTTAAAATAAATATATTAATAAAATAAGCATTATTAAGACGTGATATAAAAATATATATCAAAATGTTCATATTGTAGAAACATAATATAAATATTTGTCTAAACAATGGTACTTAAATATTAGTGTAACCATCTTATTAGAAGTCACCAAAATTTCAAAATGTGTCAAACTCTGGCTACAGTGCACATAATAATTATACAGATTTAGCTTGCAATCAGTTTGTATTCGTGTTGGTTTATTTATCTGCTGTGGAAGCTATAGTCCATGATGGCTGAAAATCTTTTAATCCAGCATTACAAATTGCACATATATTAAAAATATAGCTAAATTTGTTTAATTTCCTGTTTCAAGAGCATGTAAATTTACACACACAAAAAAAAAGAAAAGAAAAAAGAAACATTTTGTGCATAAGCAAAAACAGTGAGCAGAGGAACATATAAATAAATCTACTTGTTTTCATATTACATTACATGGATAGTGATTAGTGGAGACTAAATGCTAACCTGAAAACCAGGCTGCAAGTTTAGTTTCTATATAAGGCTTAGCTGTGTGAATATGTTCTTTGTTTCCATTTCATGTGCATAATAGGCTGCTTCCACAACAGTATCTTTGATGGTGATTAATGGATTCAGCATCACCCATTCCATATGAATAGCTTCCAAACTCTCTTCTGTTTATTAGAAAAATATTGGATTACCACTGAAGAACTGCAGCATGTCCTGCCCCGAAACATAAGGAAGATTTTAAAAGAAGTTTCTTCTGGGAGGAAAAGGTTCATGCTTACTGCAGCTTTTGAGGAGCTTCCGAAGAAATGAAAATTAGACCCATTCCACATCTCTTAAAGTAAAATTTGATTTAATTAGAAATAAGAAGAGGTCTAGGACACAACTCAGCAATGTCATCCCACTAAGCTAAAATGAACCAAATGACCATTTCTTTTTTTTCCAATGTCAGTGCCATGAAGACCATACTGAAGAGGAGAAAAGCTATTGTAGATAACTTCATGAAATCTCAATTTCTGCCCCCAAAAAAGGAAACCCAAAGATGTTCCAAATGGAAAAAAGACAGCTGAAATTTTCACCTGTAGTGGAAGATTCATACTAAGCTGAATTAAAAAAACTGTGAGACCATGTGTACAAAATATATATGTGCATAGTATGTATATATATTGCTTACTTAAATATATTTATAAGTAAAATAAATTAGTAATTTCTAGCGCTTCCAACTTCAGTGATGTTTACGTTAAAATAACATGCCAAATAACGATTATTGGAGAAGTCAAACAACAAGAATCGGCGTAATATGTGTAAATTTTGCAGGACTAGTTTTGATGGTTTCACTACAGAACCATCGAAACTCAATACAGTCAAAAGTCGTTAATCCGGACTCGTCGGGACTTCGCTGATTCTGGATTATCGATTTTTCCGGATTATAGATCGTCAGTTTAAATCTGGTAAGATGGCATGCAGAAATTATAAAATTAAAAATATTAAACCGTAATTTATGAAATAAAGAACAATTATGATCTAAAGGGTATCAAAATTTACAAAAAGAAAAAAAAGCTTAATATTTATTTGTTTACTTTATTAAACATTTCTTTCAATGTAAGTTGTTTAAGTTGCTTCGTTTTATGTGATAATACTTTCTCTTTACTTTATCGGAAGCGAATTATAATGACGAGGAATTTGATTTAAATCATATCAAAGACGGAGTACATCAAGATGGAATACTACATTTAGTAAGGAATTATGAGCCAAATAAAATAAAAACATCTGCATTGAAGATAAAGATAGTGCTGACAGATTACCTTTCAATTCATTGTGCGCCGCGGCGTCCCCCCCCCCCCCGGGGCCGCAGAGCAGCAGGAAATTGATAAACAGATTTCGGAATAGTTTGAGAAACGAAGGATATGCCTTTATCCATTTCTTGCAGCAATTCCACTTTTGTTTAATGGACTTCTAAATATACTTTCGCTTTGTAGATCCTTTACATGTTATTAAATATATATCGGAAATTCTATTTGACATAATCGAAAGTTCAAGCTTACTTTTATAAAATTGCTCTAACAGTCTGCAAAAATATTCAGCCGGATCCAATTCGAAGATTAAGGAACAACGCAATCTGCAACATTAACTGAATTAGATAATTTTAGCTTAGCTTATACCGTCCGTTATACATTAAACGCGTAAACGTATTACGCGCACACGCATATTCGCAGCCGCAAAAGTCTTACGCACATGCGTCAAAGCGATGCATGCGCAGAAAGTTTGTAGCTTTGATGTCAGAATTAACGACTTTTGACTGTGTTACTGTATAAGGTATTTCTCCCACTTTCATGATATGGTGGTCTGCACACTGTATGCGCATTCCAGAGGTCTGCAGTTCAATTCTCGCCAAAGGCATTACTAATTTTTCATCTCTCTGGCCTCGAAATTATCCTAATGTCTCTACTGTGGGGCCCAAACTAAAAGGGTGGCATGTGATAATTCTCCCCACCCAGGATTTGGCGATTGGGTCCGCTAAAAATCCCTTTAAAAAGAGGAGTATATAAGGTATATAGGTAAAAGTTTAAAATTGGGCACCCCTTTTTTTTTGGCGCCAGGAAGGCACGATTTGAAGATGACCGCTACACAAAACCAAAATAGGAAGTCAAAGAATTGCACAAACTTTGTGGCTATGTACACATCGATGTGTTTTCAGTTAAAAAAACATCCTAGAATTGCACAAACTAGGCATTGTGCTCTGCCTTAAATTTGGCCATGTACACATCAATCTATTTTCATTTAAATAAAATCAAGTAAGCTAAAACAAAGTTAAAACTATCGTGGTAACCAGAAGTGAGGTTTCATTGCCAAAATTTTAAATAAATTGTTGTTAATCGAAGGGGCACCCAATTCTACACTAGAGTCGGTACATCTCCTGCCTTC